ACCGAGACCTCCTCTATCGTACGATACAGTTCAACGTCCTTGAAGACGAGGAACTGAGTGGAACGACTGTTCACCTCCCAATGACCTCCTGGGAGGAGTGTGTGTGTGGTGTGTGCGTGTGTGTGTGTGTGTGTGTGTGTGTGTGTGTGTGTGTGTGTGTGTGTGTGTGTGTGTGTGTGTGTGTGTGTGTGTGTGTGTGTGTGTGTGTGTGTGTGTGTGTGTGTGTGTGTGTGTGTGTGTGTGTGTGTGTGTGTGTGTTTTAAGGAGAAGGGGGGGTTTGTTGCGATGCTTCGTTCTATTTGTCTTTGGTTTGGGAAAAATGTGTTTTGTAGAAGAACAAATTCCACCCACTTGGCAGTCGCTGTCTGCTGTGGTTTTTGTCACCACTCTGTCCACTGTAAATAATGTCAACTCATGTTGTGTGTTTGTGCTAAAAAAGTGCATTCAGAGTGAAAGTAGCACAAACTGGCCATGTTTTTTTTCTTCTGTGTTTTCGCTCAAAATGGCCCCATTCTGTGATAGATTGTGGAGATAAACTGTTTGTTTAGAGGGCTGCTGAATGTCAACACTGCAGAAAGACATCAATTCTGTCTCCGTCTCCCTCTGACAGGATACCCCAGCTATTCAGGAAGTCTCGCTTCTCCTTTTCTCCCCATGAGTCCTCTGGATCACCATAGCAACGGCCTCTATGGACAGCACCGATTCTATGAAACTCAAAAAGGTAGGTGTGTGTAAGTGAGTGAATGTGACAAAACTGCTTTATGTACATATATACTTCCTGCTTAATCAGCACTCTTCACAGGACTAAAAACAGCTGTTCACTTGTGGTTTAGTTTTGCAAGTTACACATTTTTTATTTCCTTTTTTCTACATAACTATGACACATTTAAATATGGTGCTTTTGAAATGGGCCCTATCATGCTTTTTTGGGGTTTTCCCTTTTCAATAACTGTGATATTTAAAAAGAAATATTGGTATCATGTTAAAAAAAACAAGTCTGATAATATCTTGTAAATCATTCGCCAATTGAATTGATTACAAAAATCGTGTTTGAGTATAATTCATTTTCCAAAAAGAGTCACAACTCACAATAAACAAAGCTCTAGATATGAGAATATTTTAACGGTTAATTATTTTGGCAACGATAATCATGTAGCGAACATCTGATATTGTGGCATTCCTAATTAAAGCAACTGCAACCTTTCTCAAATCTCACTCTGTACTTCATGAAACCTTGAACTTTACTAACTTAATTTATTTTCCTCCAGATCACTTCTACCTGAGAGGCCTTCCTCCCCAGCCCCCCCTGCTCTCCACCAGTCACAGCCTCCCTCCCCTCTCCAGACCAGGCCACCCACTTGGCTCCTGCAGCCGAGAGACGGACAACGGGGGAGGCGGAGGAGGCGGGAAGAGCACCAAGGACGTCGGCGAGAAAGGAGTATCATCCGTGCCCAAGGCGAAGGAGCGATCGAGCAGCAAGGAGCGGCACCAGGAGAGCAAAGACAAACAACATCCTCACCACCAAACGAACCCTCCGACCGGCCACCACCACCAAGCGTACCCCCACCCTCACCCTCACCACGCTCTTCTTCCTCACCTCACAGGCAGGGAGGAGGACCACAGACACCCTCTGGAGCGACACAAGGAGTACAGTGACAGTCAGGAGAAACATATGAGTGCCTGTAAACTGTCCAGTGGTGGTCCGACAGCAGAGACTGGAGGAAGGGACAGATCTCTGAGCAGCTGCAGTGGTGGAGCTGGTAGACCTCCATCAGGCAGGCGCTGCTCCAAGGATGGCTCTGTAAACGGGGAGATGAGGATCAGCGAATCCTCAGCTTCTTCTTCCAGTGAATGTATGAGAAGAGGTGCATCGTCGGCCATATTGGCGCCTCCAAACCCTCACTCTGTGACTTCTTACTCCATGCCTCCTCCTCCCCCTCCGCCACCTCCTCCTCACGCTTTGCACATGGGCTCCACAGGGTGGCTACACCATGCACATCACCACCCTCATCCGGAGTTTTACTGTCCCCCAGCCCCTCTTACACTCACGCCCTCCAAAGATCCAGCATCTGGCGGGTCCGGCAGGGAGGGGAAAGCAATCAACCCGACTTATGTACCCTCAGCTGGGCCACTTGGAGACCTGTCCGCCTCAGACTGTCGTGGAGCAGGAGGAGGTGGAAGAAAGTCAGATGAGAAGAGCGGAGAAGGATCTTATGACAGTTCCTCTCATCATCACAGTCGAATTAGTTGCCAAAAGAAGGACAAATCCCAGCCGCACCAGCAGCAGTTGGGATATGGAAAAGCCGACAAACCTCCCGACTGGAGCCACCAGACGCAGCACTTCAACAAACCCAACGGGCAGCCCGAGCTGACGTCCTGCAGCCTGGACACATCCTTCAGGGACGTAGAGGTGGTGGACGACGTTTACCGGCCCTCGCTCCCACTCGAGGCCCAGGGGACGCAGCCTAGTGCCGGACAGGGGACATCCAAGAATAGCTCAACTCCTCCATTTAGGGATTGTTCCCTCTCGGGTCCTGATGGGAGGTCGGGGTCGGGGTCGGGGTCGGCGTCTCAAAGGGAAGGACAAAAGGTGGCAAGGATACGGCACCAGCAGCACAGCAGCCATGGAGGAAGTACCGAAGAGAGGGGAAGAGATGGAGGACAGACTGCATCTTCCTGGGGGGCTCAAGGGGGTTTTCAAGAGGACCAGAAGAAAGGCTCCCATCATGCATCAGGTGGTAACAGTGAAGTAAGAGGGCTCAGCTCCAGAGCTCCAAACAGTGACCAGCCTCCACCTCTATCCCGCTCCGCAACGCACAACGCGGAGGGCGAGGGCAGCGCCATGAAGAACCTAATGAACTACAGCTCCCAGCAGCCTCTTCTGCTGCCACATCGAGGCCCATTTGGAGGTCTGGGCTGCCTCAAGCAGGGTGGAGAGAGATCAGAGAAAGGGGACAAGGGAGGAGGAGCTAAAAGCAACACCTCCCTGCAAGACCCTCCCAAACAGTCGCTGCCTCCTCGCCGAGGCTCTGCTAACGAGGGCGAGAGGGGGGAGCGAGGGGGGAAGGAGGCGGGGGAGGCAGGTGAGGGGGAGGTGCGACAGCCTCCGGTGGGTATTGCGGTCGCGGTAGCCAGGCCCCCCCATCGTTCCCCAGACAACACCCCCGGACACAGCAGACAGGGCAGGGTGCTGCCCAGCATGAAAGGTCAGACATCATTAATGCTCCTTGCTCTGAAAGTCAATTAATGCTATTTCTGTGCTCTGGGCTTCATTAAGGCGGGGGGGGGGGGGCGTCAGTTTGAGCACAGCTATTGGTGTGTACACTATCTTATATTTCTGGGTCCTTTTTTGATGTGTACTGAGGACTTATTTCCGTAATTAACTGGCCAAATGGAGACAAATTAGCAGAGAAGCTTTAAGCATGTCCGACCTTTAGACTCAAACAGCTTCTGCTTTTAACCTTTAAATGGGCATTCACATATAAATATTTGGGAAAATTAATTGATTGCTGTTTCATACATAGTAGACATTAATACATCCGTGTTACACCTATATTATTCCGTTATTACACCCAAATTAAACCCTTTTTAAACGCATATTACACTGTTATTATACCCCTGTTACACCCATATTACGCATGAATACACCCCACTACATCCATGTTACAACAATATTACATTCCTATTACGCTCATATTATACTGTAATTACACCTATATTACACTATTATTAAACCATAATTACACTGATATTACATCTTCTACACACATGGACACAGCCTGTCAAATGACTGTAACCCCCAGGATACAGAAACCATTCCTGAAGTGTTATTTGAATAGTTATATGAAGCATGTGGAGGGTTTATTGGTATACAAGAAAAAGTAACAATTTCTGGCACACAAAGAAAAATCCCTATATAAGATTATGTGTACGAGCGTCTGCACATAGTCTTCGGTTCTTTTTTTGCTTTCAGATGTACTTGTCTGAAAAACCGTCATGATATTTAATGTCACTTTGATTGTATTACAGCCGTATCACGCCCCATGTATCCTCTGGGTCGGGAGGCAGAGGAGAGGAAGAGGATGACAGAGGAGCAGATCAACCTTCATCATCTGGACAGAGAAATGATCATGAGGTAAATACACACACACACACACACACACACACACACACACACACACACACACAACCACACACACACACAACCACACACACACACGCACACGGTAGCATCTATTCAGGTTTTCTTCTCGTCTGATAAGCTGCACTTCTTTTATTCTCTCCCAGTCTGCGGCTCTGCTTCTCTTTTCTCTCATCCCCTCACTCCATTTACTCTTCTCACCCTTTGATGTAGTATTTCTGTACTCTCTCCCTCGTCTCCCCCCCCTCTCTAAGATGAGATGTGGTGCATTAATGTTACAGGGACTAATACGAATGTCTCTGAAGTATCAGGCTCTTATTATGTAGTCATATTAGGGGAAGAAAACATATAATGAGAACTCATAGACCAGGCACAAGATGATAGCTGTTCCTGTTGCCGTCACATTTTCCTTTTTCTTGATGATTATAATGGTAGTAGTGGTAATGAAGATGACAAGGATGAAGATAATGATCATAATGATGGTGATGGTGGTGGTGATGGTGGTGATGATGGTGACTATAAGAGGGATAATGAAGATAATGACAAAGTTCAACGCCTCAACAGGGAAAACAAGGAGCGCGTGGAGTTCGCCCGGATACACCCTTCCAGTAGTTGCCACGGTGACCTGACCTCTCACCTCCTGGTTCCCGGGGGGGCGAGCAGGTTGGGGTCGGACCCGGCCGCTCACGCTCATCCGGCCCACCACCACTGGATGCAACGCACAGGAAGTCCCTCCCTCTGGATGGGACACTCATACGGTGAGTGGAGCGGAGTGGAGGGGCGCATCATAATGTTTTATGGGCATGGAAAGTTTATCTGTGTCCCACACATTTTTAAAACAAGGCAATTTAAAGTGCCTTCTAATAAACATTTAAATAATTAAGACAAATGGCAGCAGAAGGATTATATAAAATACATTTTGATAACACCAAGAGAAGACAAATAGATAGAGTAAGACAGGTATAAAACACAAAAACAGTGACAGTGCAGTGTAAGATATTAGATTTAATAAAAAGGCAGCGGTAAAACCTTAAAGTCTACAGTCTTAATTTAAAACAAGTAAGTTGCAGCAAACCTGCAGTGCTTAATACATAGAACATTGTCTGTCTAATTGTATGTTTTTAGATCACATGTAAGTCAGTGTAGGGGTTTGTGAAAGGTCTTTTGGATGTATTATTGATTATTGTTTTCACGTGTCTTTTGTTCAACCATGTGGCCATTGTTCATCATGCGTTCATGTTGAATTCATGTTTTAATGTAAGAAACCCAGGTGTTTAAAACTGTACATTTACAAACCTTTATTGACAGAACATAGGTTTAATAACAACAGCAAACTGTTGACATTTTTTGTCATCAAATCATATTCATATCATATCAGTCAATCAAGTCAAGCCACAATATAACGTTGTTTCTCACTTTCATTTAAGTAATAACATCTGAGTCCTTTAGTCTTGACATGACACACTTTGCAAAAGACCCAAAAAAAGACAAGAAAGTGGTCTTTAAAAGGGTCCTCTCTTCTACTTGTGTTTTGTTTTTGGTTCAGTGGATTCCACATGGTCCATTCCTTATGCAAACCACAATCTTTTCAGAGAAGTAAAATAAGTATGTAAATGCTTTCCTCATTTGACTAAATACATTGTTTTCCAGGTCTGAGTCACGTGGGGATGAGCCCCGGCTTCCCAGCGGGTCTGCAGCCCGTCATGGGGTCGCTCACCCAAGACCCCAACTCCCAGCTGGTGGTCCTCCCGACAGAGCCCGGGCCTCATCATCACCTCGGTAGTCTAAGCATCTTTTCTTACAACACACACAGAGCTCAGACACTCACTGCCCCCTTCGCTCCCTCCTTCTCTCGTTTTGTACCATCGGAGCCGCTGCCATTTCTCTCCCAGAGTTTTAGTATCATTGGCTAATCATAATATAATGCTCAACTAAGTCCCTCTGTCAGTGGGACCGTGTTTTATAGCTTCGTTAATGGGAGCAGCTATTCCATCGCCGCCCTCTGCATGTGCCAAGCGTTATGCAAACCATTTCAACTGGCGCTCATCTCCTGTGTGGTGGAGCACTGGACTTCGTGTGTGTGTGTGTGTGTGTGTGTGTGTGTGTGTGTGTGTGTGTGTGTGTGTGTGTGTGTGTGTGTGTGTGTGTGTGTGTGTGTGTGTGTGTGTGTGTGTGTGTGTGTGTGTGTGTGTGTGTGTGTGTGTGTGTGTGTGTGTGTGTGTGTGTGTGTGTGTGTGTGTGTGTGTGTGTGTGTGTGTGTGTGTGTGTACGTACGGACGGCTAGAGTTAGTTGTGCTCATAACTGGAACAAAAGAAGACATTGCTTAGTGTTATGGGGTTGTATTGTACATCTTAGCCATTTCTAGAGGGAGAAAATAGTGTGCGTGTCTTTGTGTGTGTGTGTGTGTGTGTGTGTGTGTGTGTCAACGCTGCTTTGCAAACAGGCTGTGAAATTTAATTATCTCCCGCCTCCCTTGCCTCGCTCCGTGGGAGTTCCTGCAGAGAGGGGAAGTGCATCCACTGAACCCTTCCCCTGGGAAACATTAGCCCACTCAGGCTAATCTCACAGAACAAAGGTTCCCAGCGACAAGGCAGCCAAGGAGGGATGTGTGTGTGTGTGTGTGAATGCAGGTACAAGTGTGTGTGTGTGTATCCTAACTCATACAGTATGTGCCCAGGGTTGGGGCTTTGCAGAAAATGAATGTTTCCTTGAATAGTGATACAAAAAAGAGAGTTCAAGTAGGTGAATGGAGGGAGGTGAAGCATGGATTGATTGATTGCGGCCAACATACGGTTCACAGTTGTTACATGTTTTACTTAAAGTGGCAGAGTTTCCTGCAACGCTGCAAACATGTATGTCCCAACTTGTTGCTTATTCTGAATGTTTAGCGATATGCAGACAGAAATATCTTACTCCCTTTTCTTTTTGCACCCATTTTCTATTATTCATATCAAACTAAATGCTCTTTTTCTTTGTCTGCCACTCCAGATGTTTTGGAGCAGTCAGGTCTGTGGCCCCCTGTGTACGGAGGCAGAGGCCCTCCCTCTCACCTGCAGCACCACCAAGTCTACTCCCGCTCCTCATTCCTCCGTCAGCAGGAGCTCTACGCCCTGCAGCATCAGCACCAGCAGCAGCAGAGAGCCATGGAGCACATGCAGCGACACTCAATAGCACAGGTAACCAAAACCAATACAATGCATTTCATTAAAACAATATTGCATTTTGAATATAACTCATTTTGGGAGAGGTTACATTGTAGTCTGAACTTGTGAAATGCCGTTAACATATTTTTGCGCAATTGTGGACGATTGAGAATTAGGAAGTGTGGAAATATTGTGAACTTGCGCAAACAAGTGAATCTTGACCTCCTTGATTAGTCAGGACTTTTTGAGAGAAGAAGCCAATGCAAAGTCACACTCAGCACTACATTACATTATTTACGCCAATTACTTCCTCTTTTCCTTAGAAAAGGTTTTCACTGATAAGGAGGTGTAGGTGTGGCACTTTTGCGGTCTCACATTAGCCGCGTTCACACCGGAGTACTTTTCCCCGTACTTTTCGCGTTTAGTTCCGTTAGTACCCCTTATGTCGCGTTCACACCAAAAAGAGTACTGAGTGCCGGGAACTTTTACCCCCATTTTTAGTGCCTGCTGAGAGGTGGTACTTTCCTGGGGGAAAAAAGTGCCCCAGTTCTGATTGGCTGGGCGAATTGCAAACCACGCCCCGTAAAACTCTGAAATGTTTTGTAGAGCCGCCATTTTATTATCCTCGCATTAGCATTATTAGCATTAGCATTAGCCCAGCGCACAAACGCAGAGAGACTAACTTATGGCAACACAAAATAAAACATGGGGGAGTCCCAGCAGCTTCTACTGAAGCCAGTCCCCAACTCCGGGGACTTCCGGCCGGGGACTTCGGGTGGCAGTATACGCCGTGAAGTTGTTTGCGGCCTGCCAGTAAACCCAAAGCAGAAGAAGTAGAAGTGACGTCAGCGGCTCATTTGCGTAATCTTCCCTCAGGGACTTATTCCGGTGTGAACGCTCTTTAGTTCCATAGGGGAACTAAGTGCTGGGAACTAAGTACGGCAAAGTACTTGGTGTGAACGTGGCTATTGCTAGATCATTTGGCGATCACACAGTGTGGCTGACTTTTTAGAAGACTATTTGATGTTTTTGTTTATATTGTGTTTAACTATATTGTAATTTAGGCAGACTGCTTGAGATTTTATGCAGGAAATATCAGAAAATTAAATTTGAGGATGATTTATTCTTCCCTCTCTGCTTCCTCATCTACAGAGAAAGCACGAGGAGCATGCTATCACAATAGAGGAATCTCCCCATGAATCTTCTGCATCCAGAACTCCTTCCTCTTCATCCTCCTCTTCGTCCACTGCCTCCTCTCATGTGACCAAACCCTTCTCCCACACACCCCCTCCACCCAAGACGCCCACCCCCTCCCCGGGGATGTGTCCCAGCAGCCGTCAGTCTCCGTGCTACCACTCCCCGTCCCGGCGGTCCCACCCTCCGAACCCCCTGACCCCCGCACCGAGCCCTGCAGCGGCGGCGCCTCGCTCCCCCGCCCTAAGCCCCGCCCCCTCACACCTCTCTAAGGGGCTGGAGAGGGGCAGTGACAGAGGGGAGGGACAGCCACCGCAGGACTACCCACAATCCCTAGAGCCAGGTGAGTGTGTAGACAGGTTAACTTTGGCAATAGAATGGTGCAGTGACGACGTCTTTTTGTAGGCCAATAGGAAGTTGGCAACAGCAAGGGCTCCTGGGATTTTTCTATTGCATTTTGGATTATTGGAGAAAATAAGATCTTTGGCAAAGAAACATTTATGATACTTCCACATTTGTTCAGCACGATATTCTCCACATATTAACACAACTTTATGTGGGAGTAGAATATTAACGTTAGGCTATATGAGCTAATTTACGCGCCAGCACCGCTAAGCTAGCTAATGTTCGGCGTGATGGCGTTTAGTGGTCCCATTTTTCACCTTTTCAGCAACCATAGTTTTTAAATTCACCAGTGGGGTATTTACTGAACATTTTTATGTCATAAAACAAAACATGAACATCTCTTCAGCTTGTGTTAGCCAAAGGACTTATTTCAGGCGTCATAAATACTTTAAAAAAATGCTAACTTTAGGACAAGGCAACGGGAAGTTGTTAAATGCTAACTCATTCCTGGGTTTAAGGACTTGTTCCTGCACCCCTCTCACTCTGATTTAAAAAACAAAAACTTTATCAGCAGGTTGAAAAGTCAGACAACACAAATATAGGCAGAGAGTTAGAGACGAGGCAGAGACAGAGATAGAGAGGTGTAGTGGGACAGAACACAAGAGAGTAAGATAGAGGATGCTGCTGCAGAAATGTAGCACCGGTCTTTGAAGCGTGGTATTCTTTTGATTTTGCAGAAATTGTTTGAAGCATGGCCGATCCCTTGCTCTGTGTGCCCTTGAGTGTGTGTGTTTGTGTGTGAGCATTTATTCTCAGAGAGCTAAAGAGGGACAGCGGGCAGGTCAGTCATTAAGGTCAAAGAAAGCATATGGGCACTCAGTGTGTGTGTGTGTGTTTGACCTGCCATAGTGCACCTGTGTGTGTGTGTTTGACCTGCCATAGTGCACCTGTGTGTGTGTGTGTGTGTTTTTAAGCTTGCATGTGTGTCACGAGACGAAGGTCAGAGAGATCTTCAGACGGGCTCTCCTTATCCTTCAGGGGTCCTTGAGAAAGAACATGCGGAAGGATATGCATTCATCTGGCTGTGTTGTCAGGGGGGCGGAGGGATACCATCAATAATAGAAAGCGCATGGGTGACAGGGCCGGCGCTGCAATCACAGGAAAACGGCAGGGTGTCATCAATATCCCACATAGATCTATACACTCACTCACACACACACATCCAAAACATATACTTTACACTACTGTACACACACACGAGCACGAGCAGACACTGTGTGTTTTCGGCACCCTGCTGTCAGTGTATTATGCCGACTGTAATCACGCGCGTCATCCTCTGCCTGAACAGAATGGCAATGAATACAAAAAGGGAAAGGGCCTCTCTATTTTCTGATGCTTTTTAATATTATTTTGTACAGTTTGTCCGATAGTGAAATGGTTTTATATGCTATTTGACGTCGGCTTTTTCTTATTTCCTCCAGACCTACCACCTGTTTACACCTACCCTCCGATCACCATGGGTTACAAGGCCGGACCCTCACCTCCGGAAGCTCGATTGGCCGAACAAGCCACGGTGGAGGCGGAGCCAGCAGAGCCCGAGTCCAAGCCCCGCCCACATCCGTTCCACATCACCGTAGAAGAGGAGAGGGGGGAAGAAGAAGAAGAAGATAGAGACTGTGAAGTTGTGGAATCCCGGAGTACAGTTGTGATCGAGGAGAAGGAAGAGAGCAGGGTGGAAGTGAAAGGATTCTCCGAGCCCAAGAGCGAGATTTCTGGATTGCCGCCATGCCCTTCCCCGGCTCTGATCCAAGACTCAGCTTGCCCCGCCACAGCCACGGGCAAAACCCTAAAAGTAGAGCTCTCTCTGGGCTGCCTGGGCCAGAAGGCCGGCCTGGAGGAGCCCCAAATATCCAAAGAGCAGGAGGATGATAATAAACATGGAATAGAGGACATGGAGGGAGAAAAACTGGGGCCTGAACCAACAGAATGTACTGTGTTTGTAGAGGAGAAGGTGGAGGACAAAGAAGGAGAGAATGTAGAGGTGGTGGAGGATGAGGAGGAGGAGGAGAAGGAGATTCCAGGCGAAAACTCAGTGGAAGTAAGGTGTGTTTCTCCTGGTCTTCCCCCCTCCTCTGACACCCTCCTCCCCCCCCACCCCGGGCACAGCAGCCCAGACACAAGGCGCCTACATGTGGAGCCTGGAGCTCCTGATCGCTGCCACTCTATGCGCCTCCAGAGATGCCTTGTACCCGCCTGCTCTTGCTGTCAGGGCCCCCAGCCCCCCCCCACACCACGGCATGGAGATACTGGGAGAACTGGCCGAGCTGGAGATCCAACAGAGGAGCAGAGAGAAAGACGCTGAGGGTGAGTTCATCTGATGTTTCTGTTTTGTTCTGCTGAGGCCTTCAAGTCAAAGTCAACTTTATTGTCAATCTTTCAGTTTGTGTGTACAGACAGAGAGATCAAAATACCGTTTCCCACAATCCCAAATACAGAAACAAAGAGGCCTTCCAACGTGATGTCATTTGCGAATATTTGAAAGTCTGAAATATCTCTGAAATTGAGCCAAAAATTCCCAGAGTAATTTAGTGTATACTTTACAGTTTACAGTCCTTTCTATTTCTTATAGTGAAACTGTTGGTTATTTTTTATATATTTATTTCTTGGTCTACATAATTCCAGAAAATAGAGAAATCTCTTCTCGATTTCTTGTTTATTCAGACCAAATTCCATCATTTGATAGTCAAAATGCATTTTTCTACCATTTTGCATGAAAAATTACTTTAACGTTGGCTGATTATCAAAAAATCGCCAAATTATGTTCAGAGAAATTGAAACACCAAATAATTGTACCATATCCAGGATCCTTTTTAAATAGGTCCTGTGTACAAATGACATCATCTTGTTGTAATAAAAAGGACAAGAAAACGTATAAAATTAGATCAAGGACAAATCAAAAAATGTACTATAGCCTAATTCTTTTCCTGACTACATAGACACACATGAACACACACAGCAGGGCCTGGAAGTGTGCAATCCAGATGTGGACCTCAACACACACACAGACACACACGCACGCACACACACACACACACACACACACACACACACACACACACACACACACACACACACACACACACACACACACACACACACACACACTTTGCCACTCGCTGCCCTGCTTACTTCCTCTGCTCTGACTCTGTTTCTTGCCTGTAGACCATATTTTCTCCTCTGGGAGGGGGTGGTGTGGTTGTGTGTGTGTGTGTGTGTGTGTGTGTGTGTGTGTGTGTGTGTGTGTGTGTGTGTGTGTGTGTGTGTGTGTGTGTGTGTGTGTGTGTGTGTGTGTGTGTGTGTGTGTGTGTGTGTGTGTGTGTGTGCGTGTGTGTGCGTGTTAATGCGTATGTCCTGGCTTCTGTCTGAAGCTCAGCTCATTTGTCCATCTCTGTGTCCCCATTAAACACACACACACACACACACACACACACACACACACACACGCGCACACACACACACACACACACACACACACACACACACACACACACACACACACACTTTGCCCAGTGTGTCCCCCAGGCTCTGGCGTCTTGCTTTGCTAATTAGACCCTTTCCTTTAAAACACTTCTCCTTTAAGCGCTCCTATTTTCCTCTCGTCCCTCTGAGAGAAAGTGTTTTTATTTATGCCAGCATCTGTGTGTGTGCGTGTGTGTGTTTGCATACATTTGTGTGTGTGCATGTGCGGCGGAGTGTGTGCGTAAGCTGTTAAGTAATCCCAGATGAATCCCGGCGCTCCTCCATCAGAGTCTATGTGTCTCTCCACCTCCTCCCTCTTTGTTATTTCTCCCCCCTCACCTGCTTCTCCTTTCTCTTTTTTCTTTTTTTATTAAACCAATGTAATCTTGTGTGTAAATCCTGCCTCTGCAAGCCTTGTCGACAGAATTAATAAGTGTAAAAAATCACAAGTCGCTCTGCAGCTGTCTGTGCATGCATGTGTGTGTGTGTGTGTGAGAGAGATACCGAGTGTGTGCATTTGTTTACATGTGCGCGCACGTGCTTAGCATGTGTAATAGGTGTGAAATCAATAAGTCCTGTCGCGGCGTGGAAAACGTTTTCTCCAAATTGCAACACATTTATTTGAAACCCGCCCTGTCCGCGCTGCATGGAATATTATTAATACCGCTCGTGGCAGTTTTGTCATCCTGAATGTGTTTGGGAGATGAAACCGATCCCAGACAGATGCATTAATGCCGCTCCTCCACGCGGAAGATATCTCAGCCGTTTGCAGGAGATCGCAATTACAGATTAGGGAATCAAGAGATGCTTTCCCCCTCCAGGATAAATTAGCAGCATTACTTCTATTTACACTACACTGACATTACACTGGAAAAACTCAAACGTTGGCTTTAATTACATTTATTTTGTCAACAAATGTCTCATAACTGTATTACGTTAGTTAAAAGCAATACAATTAAGTTTAACCTAATATTCTTTATTTAAACTTAATATTATCTACCTAATACAGTCATGTGAAATCTGTTGACATGATACATTTAATTAAAGTTTCAGTGTTTTCAGTTTTTGTCTCTCTTAAAACCTTTGAATATTTGTGTAACATCTGTGAAATTGAGCCAAAGAGTAATTTTGTGTATCCTTTACAGTTGCAACAAGCAATTACTTTCTATTTATTACACTTAATATGCTGATTATTCTTCTAGATTTATCGTCTGGTCTATACAATGCGAGGAAATCGTGAAAGAATTGACAGTTTGTTTTACATTTCTTGATATTCAGTCCAAATCCTAACGATTCTGAATCTATTATGATTGGAAATAGAGAGACTAAAAAGCATTTTCTGCCATTTTTGCATAATTTAACGTTCTTCTACTTGACTCGCCAAATAATCGCTGCGACTCTCCTTTCAATATCTTACCTTAATATAAATGACGTCATCTTGTTGTTATAAAAAGGACAAAAATACTACATTAAGGAGAAATAAAATTGTTTTACTATAGCTTAATTATTTAGTATAAATGAGCAGCATTACTTCTATGTACACAGACATGGAGGAGCTGTTTGTGTCATAGTACTCCTTTAAGTTTCAGCTCAATAAACTTCCTTAATGGCCCTTAATGACGACTAGGCCCATATTAACTGTAATGGTTTTTAATTTTCCTCCACTGTTTTCGTTTTTTCCCCTGTGCTTCCTCTTATTACACCACTCACACCCTTTAGGGACCCAGTGTGGTGTTATTACTGTGTGTGTGTGTGTGTGTGTGTGTGTGTGTGTGTGTGTGTGTGTGTGTGTGTGTGTGTGTGTGTGTGTGTGTGTGTGTGTGTGTGTGTGTGTGTGTGTGTGTGGCATGTGTGTGTGTGGTGCATTGTGGGCGGAAGGTATCTATTGATCGTGGCCATCCTGCAAACCAGGCGTGGTGATGTCAGCGGTGATGTCATCCTGTCAGGGTAATCGGAGCGTGCCATTGGCTCAGAGGTCTGACAGATGAGACGGCGGTGACCTCTGTGAGGCGGGACAGGACAAAGCCTCTCTGTCTCCCCCCTCTCACCTGTCCTTCTCTCACCCGTTTGTTTCTTTTTCGTGGATGAAGACTCCATCCTTCCTCTTCTTTCTCTATGTTTACTGCATTTCTGTCTCTCACACACACACACACACACACACACACACACACACACACACACACACAGAGGTTTTAATAACGTCAGATGTCAGTGAATAGGCCGTGCAGCTCCAGTGCGCAGACTGAGAGTGATCCAGTAAACCTTATCCTTTCTATTCTCTCCTCTCTTCCAATCATTTCATCTCTATCTCTTTCCTTTCCTTTCTTGCCTTTCCTTTTTATTTCATTCCTTTCCTTTACTTCTCAATCCTTTCCTTTCCTTTCCTCCTTCCTCTCTTCCGTCCTTGCTCTCTTCTCTCCATCTCCCTCTCCTCCGTTCCTTTCTTTTCCTTCTTAACTCTTCTCCCATATTCCTTTTCCTTATCTCCCTCCTTTATTTTCCTCTCCTCTCTTCCTGTCCTTCCTCTATTCTCTTATCACCTCTCCTTCTTCCCTTCCTCTTCTTCTTCCCTTCCTCTCTTCTCATCACCTCTCCTCCTTTCCTTGAAGGGGAAATTGGATTCTGTCCATGTCCATAATGAGGAGATGTAGGAGAAT